ACACGGGCACCAGGCGGGATGGGCGCGGGCACCGGGCGGGATGGACACGGGCACCGGGAGGGATGGACACGGGCACCGGGAGGGATGGGGCACCGGGCGGGATGGAGGCGGGCACCGGGCGGGATGGGGCACCGGGCGGGATGGACACGGGCACCGGGCGGCCCCGCCGTGACCGGGCTCTGTTTGCAGGCGGCGTGGGCGCGCTCAGAGAGGACGGGGCGGACACGGAACCGCCGGTGAGCTGGTGAGTGCGGGATAGTGCGGGACCGGGCCGCCGGTGAGTGCGGGATGGGGCGGGAGGGGATGGGACGGGATGGGATGGGATAGAGCTGCCCGTAAGCTGGTGAGTGTGGGATGGAACGGGACGGGAGGGAACGGGACCGGGCCGCCGGTGAGTGCGGGATGGGACGGGGCTGTCGGTGAGCTGGGGAATACGGGACGGGACGGGATGGGATGGGACGGAGCCGCCCGTGAGCTGGTGAGTGCGGGATGGGACAGTGCGGGATGGAACGGGACGGGACAGAGCCGCCCGTGAGCTGGTGAGTGCGGGATGGAACGGGACGGGATGGAACGGGACGGGAGGGAACGGGGCCGCCGGTGAGTGCGGGATGGTGCGGGGAGGGACAGGACGGTGTCACCGGTGAGCTGGGGAGTGCGGGATGGTGCGGGCCGGGCCGGGCCGGGGTCCCGCAGCTGCCGCCGCTTTGTGTCGCAGGGACGGGGCTGTCGCCGATTACCGGGAGCGGGGCTGCGCGTCGCGGGACGCCGGGAGCCGCAGGGTGAGCGCGGCCGCGGGTCCCGCCCCGCTCCCGGCCCGGGGACGAGGCGAAGGCCCCGGTAACCGGCCCGGGATTGTTCCCGCAGGGAGACGCTGCCGGGGACGCCAAGGGGAATCCCGGTGCTGCGGGGCCAGGTTTGTGCACGGCGGGTTCGGTCTCTGTGATCAGGTCCAGAAAGGCAGAACCAAATTCCCTGGTTCCTGCTGTGGGACAGCGTGTGAGGGAACAGGGAGAAGGAAAACTATGGGATAACAGTGCTTGGCTTATGGAGAGCTGGGGCAGATGGGCTGACCCAATTTTTTAACTTACTCAGTTTTTTCAGCCCAGCAGATGGGCCAAAAAACCTGGATAAGTTAAAAATTTGATTTTGCATTCACGGGGATGCTCAGAACTCGAAGAGGATGCTCAGAGCAGAAAGGGGATGCTCAGAACATGTTAGAAAACTGGTTTTACATTCGTGGGGATGCTCAGAGCTCAAAGGACCTTTGCTGTCCCCTCTGCCTCCCTGCAGGCTCCCAGCACGCTCCCTCCATCAGGCTCTGGTCTGATTACCTCAACGTGCACCTGCACCCCAAGAGTCTCCACGTGATCCGGCAGTACCTGCACGATGGGTATGGCCAGACCCCAAACCAGGGCTGAGTTTTGCCTTCAAGGATGAAGAAAAGGGATAAAATAAGCCCTCTTTTCCCATTTTTCCCTTAGGGATTGTGGCTGTCTCGAAGCCTTTGGGCAAGGTGAAAGTCTCCTGCAGGACCCTGCCTGTGTGGATGAGTTGGAAGATCGGCTGCACTTCTTTGTTGAGGAGTGTGATTATCTTCAGGTGCTCACCTCCTCCAAGCTCCCTTTGCTTCCAAGAAACTTCCTGCTCGAGGAGAAGCAGAATCTGAGATGCTGCCGATGTTTCCTTCCCCCAGGGGTTTCAGGTCCTCTGTGACCTCCACAATGGATTCTCTGGAGTTGGTGCCAAGGTGACAGAGCTGCTCCACGATGAGTACCCACGGCAGGGGATCCTCACCTGGGGCCTGACTCCAGTCCTGAGCGCTGGGGGAGTGAGTAAACAATGGAGAGCCCAGAGCAGCTGCCCAGCCTGGCCTTGGCAGGTTCTTGCTGTTCCAATGGTTGGATTTTTTCCCCCCCAGGACCCTCAGAAGAGTTTTCAGAGACTGATGAACACGGCCCTGGGCCTCGCCCACCTGTCCCGTCACAGCTCTCTGCTCTGCCCCCTGTCACTCAGTGGCTCTTTGGGACTCAAGCCAGAGCCTCCTGTGACATTTCCATACATAAAATACAATGTAAGTGCTGGGCTGGGATCACCCCCCATGGCTGGCACTGAGCTCCTGCAGCTCTGGGGCTTGGTGCTTTTCCATGGTGCTGTTCTGCTCAGCACTGACCTTTTCCTGCTGTTTCACTGGGACTTTTAGCTGCCAGCTTTTCATTTCTGTAATTTTCTTGCTGCTTCTGAAAATATTAACACGTTTCCTTGGCCACTATGCTTTCTGGTGGGTGCTGGCACTGAAGAAAAGGCTTTACTACATTATTCTCCACGCTTGGAGTAACTCCAGCCTCACTGGAGCCCTAAGGAGCCAAAAAAGATAAGAAAACTGGCACCAAAGCATTTGTTAGCCAACAGCTGGGCTGGAACTACAGTTACACACTGGCTGCTTATCCCAACCCTGAAATAACTGTAAACCACCTCTTTTAAAGGCACAATTTACAACCTGGTTTAAGTCAAATACACAAACTGTGAGCTGTCCTGCCATTGCTGCTCTTGTCTCCTCCCCAGGCATCCCTGAACTACCAGAGCAGTGCAATCCTGGCAGCTGCACTCGACACCCTCACGGCTCCCTACAGGCTCTGCTCCTCCCAGGCCTCCATGCTGCACTTTGCTGACTCCCTCACCTTTTCTGGGAGGAAGGTGAGGATGAGGAGACCTTCCAGCTGTGCTGCAGCTGTTCTGCACGGCCCCAGCTGTGCCAGGAGCGTGTTCCAGGCTCTGCTCTGTCACCCACATCCAGGTTGTGGCTGCCTGGGCAGCTCTTCCCCTGCCTGCCTTGTCTGGCTCCTCGCTCCCTGATGCTTTGAGTGCCCACCAGGACGTGCCCTGGAAGCTCCTGTCCTCGTGCAAGGAGCAGAGGCTCAGCTCCTGCTTTGCTCAGTCTGTGGTGCTACGAGGAATTGGCCAGGAGAAAGCCCCCAGGTAAATCAGCACCTGAGCTGCACTTCCTGCAGGATTCCTCACCCACAGAGGAGGAGCAGCCTAGGGATGAGTGCTGCTGGTTTGAGAGCAGAACAGCTGAGGAGCAGCTGAGGCCTTGATGGTTCCAGGCTGGAAAACGCTGAGTTTCCTTTGCAGCAGCTGCCCAGGCCAGCCCAGGCCGCCCCTGCACAGCTGTGAGAGCCCTGAGCAGGTGCTCCAGCAGTACCTGCACAGCCACTTCCCAGGGGCCTTCAGGTGGGTGCAGGGCTGGAGCTTCAGGGGTGCTGGTTTAGCACAGGGAGCATTGAGGGGCTCTGGGTAACTTCATTCATCTCCTCACAGCACCTGCCACGTGCTCCAGCAGCCCTGTCACACCCAGCCTCCCTTCCCACAGTTCTTCTCTCCTCTCCTGACCACACGAGGCTTCCTCCAGGACAGAGCCCAGGGCTCTTCCTCAGCAGGTAACAAACACCCCCTAAACTCTGCAGCAGGGAGATCAGGGCCTGACAGAGGGGAAATTATCAATGACACCCCAAAATTATCAGTAACAACCCAAAATTATTAAAAACCAGAATTATAAATAACCAGGATTATCAATAACCAAAACTATCAATAACCAAAATTATCAATAACCAGGGTTATTAATAACCAACCAACCCAGTGTGCAGAGCTGGGAGCAGCTGAGCTCCAGCCCAGTCCTTGTGCAAGGGCTGAGGGTTTGGTGGTGTTTAACCCTTGCTGTGCCTGTCATCTGTTTAACCCTTGCTGTGCCTGTCATCCTCCTGGAGAGAGCCCAGGGCTTTTCCTCAGCAGGTAACAAACACCCCTTAAACTCTGCAGTAGGGAGATCAGGGCCTGACAGAGGGGGAAATTATCAATGACAACCCAAAATTATCAGTAACACCCCAAAATTATGAACAACAACCCAAAATTATGAACAACACCCCAAAATTATCAATAACAACAACCCAAAATGATCAGTAAGGAACAGACCCAGTGCGCAGAGCTGTGAGCAGCTGCGCTGGAGCTGGTGCAGCAGCACAGAGCAAGGGCTGAGGGTTTGGTGGTGTTTAACCCTTGCTGTGCCTGTCATCTGTTTAACCCTTGCTGTGCCTGTCATCCTCCTGGACAGAGCTCGGGGCTTTTCCTCAGCAGGTAACAAACACCCCTTAAACTCTGCAGCAGAGAGATCAGGGCCTAAGAGAGGTAAAAATTATGAACAACCCCCCAAAATTATGAACAACAACCCAAAATGATCAATAACAACCCAAAATTATGAACAACCCCCCAAAATGATCAATAACCCCCCAAAATGATCAATAACCCCCCAAAATGATCAATAACCCCCCAAAATGATCAATAACCCCCCAAACTGATCAGTAAGGAACAGACCCAGCGTGCAGAGCTGTGAGCAGCTGCGCTGGAGCTGGGGCAGCAGCACAGAGCCAGGCCCGAGGGTTTGGTGCTGTTTAACCCTTGCTGTGCCGTCTCCCCGCAGGTGTTGAGAGCATCCCCGTGCTGGCAGCCCTGCAGAGCTGCCCTGGCCTGCAGGGGCTGCTCTCGGGGCTGTGCCGGGAGCTGCGGCCGCGGCGCTGGGGCCGCCCCTGCGCGGCCGGGCTGGAGCACGACGAGGTCCAGGAGGCCCTGGAGGAGCTCAGGACCCTGGCCCAGAGCTATGAGACTGGAGCTGGAGCTGATGGATCTGAGGATGAAGGAGATTCAGACTAATGCACACTGGGAGTGGCTTTGAGGTGGCTCCCACAATAAAGGGAATGGTTCTGGAGATGGCCCAGCTGTTCCTTCTTCTCATTTTACCAAAAAAAATCTTCTGGGGGAAGTTCTCCAGCTACTCACAGTTGTGTGGCAAAGGAGGAAAGCTGCTTTTGCTTTTCTATATTTTGGTTGGCTTTTTTTTTTTTCAGCAGTGCAAATTGGATTTGCTCTGCCTGTTCAAATAAACCCAGACAATAAATAGAAAATTCAGACTGTAACTATCTCACATACAATCAGCACAAGGGGAGAACTTAGAAAAACTCATGTGTTTGTTGCACATAAAAAGTGACATTTCAGGGTACAATATTTACAGGTCCTGGTTAGAGGCTGCTGGGCCCCAAGGCCAGATCAGTGTCCCCAAGTTCTGTTATTCCACTGCTGAAACTCCCCAGGGGAGTTCTAAAGAATATTTTTCATTTTACTTCCTGCCTTTGGTTTGGTACAGGCTGGAAATTGAACAAAAGGTAATTAAGGTGAATTAAGGTGCTGTCTCAAGTACCTGTGCAAACATTTTTCCACAGCACCTGTCTAGCAGCAAACTGGCAAAAACCAAACCCCCTCTTGTGGTGCAGTCAGTAGTTTCATCACCTCAGTCATCAGGTTCTTCCTCAGAAAGCAGAAGATCCTTGTCTGACAGCTGGTCTGTGTTGCTGGTGCTGGTGGCATCCTCCTCATCCTCAGAGCTGCCATCACAGGACGTGTGGAACAGCCTCATCAGCTCCCTGAACCTGTGGGACACCTGGGGACCAAGGAAATGCAGGCTCAGAGCTGCCATGGAATTTCATAGCTCAGGGTGTTCTGTAACACCAAAAAAATCAACAGCACGGTGGGAATTCATACAAGATTGAGGCATCAAGGAGGAGAAATGGAAGAGCTCTGGGTTTTGTTTTCTTTGGAAGAACAGTTTCATTCTCCAGGTCAAATCTGGCAGTCTGGGAGGATTCAAAAGCAGATCCTGTGTACAGATCCTTAAATATATATAGATCTGTATATATAAATATATACAGATATATAAAAATATATACAGATCCTTAAATATATTATATATATCTGTATATATAAATATATACAGATCCTTAAATATATTATTCTTTGTACAGAAGGGGGAGGCTGAGTGGCAGCCACTGAAACAACTCCAGTGCCAAAGGTGCAGCTCAAATCCCACTGGTGACCCTGCCAGGACCAGGGCACACAGCATTTTTGGCACAAGAAAACAGAACAGAGTTTGCTTTTGATTTTTTGAATTTGCAACTGAGATGATTTTTTCATCCAGCTGAAGTTTGGGAGGCTGCTAGGACAGCACCCTGACCTTCCCAGCCCCTCTCCCACACAGCCCTCACCTCACTGGCTGTTTTGTTGCCCAGCTTCTGGGAGATGGCATGGAAGGTGTCCAGGTGGGCTCCCTTCTCCTGGCACGTGGTGAGGATGACTCTGTCAGCCTCCCTGCAGAACAAAACCCCTGTGAAAGCAGCCCCAAACCAGCAAGAGACTCAAACACCCCAGCTCAGCCATCCCAGCTCAGCCATCCCAGTTCTGCAAACCCAGCTCTGCCATCCCAGCTCTGCCATCCCAGTTCAGCCATCCCAGCTCAGCCATCCCAGTTCTGCCATCCCAGCTCTGCCATCCCAGTTCTGCAATCCCAGTTCAGCCATCCCAGCTCAGCCATCCCAGCTCTGCCATCCCAGCTCAGCCATCCCAGTTCAGCAATCCCAGCTCTGCCATCCCAGCTCAGCCATCCCAGCTCAGCCATCCCAGCTCTGCCATCCCAGCTCAGCCATCCCAGCTCAGTTCCCAGCTCTGCCATCCCAGCTCAGTTCCCAGTTCTGCCATCCCAGCTCTGCCATCCCAGCTCTGCCATCCCTGAGCACGGCTCCTCCTGCCACCCCCAACCCCAGGACCCTTCTCTAAGCACAGCTCCTTTAGCCTGGCTTTAAGTTTTTTGAAGGAGGTTTTAAGATTTTTTGAGAAGGTTTGAGAAACTTTTTGAGAAGGTTTTAAGTTTTTTTTTCCCCAGTCTGAAGTGCTCCAATAAGAGCCCTACCAGGAGCAGCTCATGGGGCCAAACATGGACTGAGCAAAGGGAAGGGTCAGAAATCAGGGACACAAAATAAATGACCCAGTCAGAGCTGGAGCCAAACAGGGGGCACAGAAAGAGGAGCTCAGGCAGAAGTACCTGGTCCAGAGCACGACCTTCTCCCCAGTGGAGCTGACTTTGCTGTTCTTGGCACACACGGTGGCCTCTGTCACCCGCTGCTGCTGCTGCTGCTGCTCCTCCCTGTGCCCTGGGCAGGCTGTTCCTGCTCTGGGCTCCATCTGCCCAGGCTGCTGATGCACCAAGAAGCTGCTGCTTGCATTTGCCCTTGGCCTGGCCTCAGGAGCAGCTCCAGAGCAGCCTCTGGCCTGTGTGTCCAAGCTGCAGTGCCCAGGGGAGCCTGAGCTGCAGCTCCAGCCCTGCTTTGCTTCAGCTCCTCCTGCCAGGGCCAAAGCTGCTCCCTCCTCGAGCTCTCTGCCACCTTCAGGAGCAAGAGCAGAGCCCCCATGTTGAGAATGAAGCCCCTCAGGCTGGCAGGGAGGAGGTGCTGGGGAGCCCCTGGCTGCAGCAGAGAGCAGCAGGTCCCTGCTCAGCCCCTGGGCCTCCCCCCCAGGCTGCTCCAGGGCCCCAGGGCAAGGGCAGGCTTTGGTTTCTTGAGGTAGGTTCAGAGCAGCTTTTGGCAGCTGAGCCCATCTGGGGCCAGTGGCAGCAGAGTCCCCGTCCTTGGCAGTGCCCACACCTGCACTGGAACCTTCTGGAAGCTGGGCATCAGCAGGGGCAGCCTTTCCACAAGGTGTGCTGGAGGGCAGCCTTCCTTCCAGCTGAGGTCCTGCTGAGAAACACAAACAAGGTCACAGAAGCTGTAAGGAAAAGCCCTGGAGGCTTCATTCCCTGACTTTTAGAGACATTTTTATTTACAGAGCCTAATGCTGCACGTGAGAGCAGTTTGGGAGCAGCTTTGTGACTCCAGCTGCCTTTTCCCCAGCTGTGCTTCAAACAAAACAAATCTGCAGCCAATTTCCTTCACCCCTGTGGGCTGCCACAACCAACTGCTGGGTGAAGTGATGAAGATTGCAAAAGTGCACTGCCCAGAGCAAAACTCTCCAGTGAAACTGCTCCTGGCAAAGCCACAAACCCAGGCAGGAAACCACATTTAAACTCCTGTATTGAACTGTGTGCTGTCCCCAGGAGCAGGAGGAGGAGGAGGAGAAGAGGAAGGAGGAGAAGAGGGAAGAGGAGAAGGAGAAGGAAAAGGAGGAGGAAAAGGAGGAGGAGAAGGAGGAGGAAAAGGAGGAGAGGAAGGAGAAGAGGAAAAGGAGGAGGAAAAGGAGAAGAGGAAAAGGAGAAGAGGAAAAGGAGAAGAGGAAAAGGAGAAGGAAAAGGAGAAGAGGAAAAGGAGAAGAGGAAAAGGAGAAGAGGAAAAGGAGAAGAGGAAAAGGAGAAGAGGAAAAGGAGAAGAGGAAAAGGAGAAGAGGAAAAGGAGAAGAGGAAAAGGAGAAGAGGAAAAGGAGAAGGAAAAGGAGAAGAGGAAAAGTAGAAGAGGAAAAGGAGAAGAGGAAGGAGGAGAAGGAGGAGGAGAAGAAAGAGGAGAAGAAAAAGGAGAAGGAGAAGAAGAAAGAGGAGAAAAAAGAGGAGAAAAAAGAGGAGAAGAGGAAGGAGAAGAGGAAGGAGGAGAGGAAGGAGAAGGAGGAGAACTCCTCCCTCAGGGTGTTCATCCTGCCAGAATTGTGTTTGTCCTGCTCTGCACCAGACTGGAGGAAAAACAAACACCCAGAGATTGTTTAAAGGCACATTAGGAGCTGGTGGCTCTGAAATGCCAAAATGGAAACTGGGGAAGAAGCAGCACCATGGAAAATATATTATATATATTAAAAATATATTAAAAATTTATATATATATATATATATATATATATATATATATATATATATATATATATATATATATATATATATATATATATATATAAAATTAAAATATATTATATATATAAAGTATATTTTAAATGTGTATTTAAAATATGTTATATATATAATATATATTTAAAATGCACATTTTAAATATTATATATATATATAATATATTTAGAATGCACATTTAAAATATATTTTATATATGTAATATATTTAAAATACACATTTATTGACTATAACAATTCTAATTGTTGTCTTTTCACTTTTTTTCCCTCTGGATGTTCTAAACCCTTTCCTGCCCAGAGAATATTCTGCCCTTTTCACAATGATGGCTCCATTTAAGCTTCTCTTGCCAGGATGCTGCTCCAGTCCCCAGTCCATGGTGCTGCTCTTCCCCAGTTTCCATTTTAGCATTTCAGAGCCACCAGCTCCTAATGTGCCTTTAAACAATCTCTGTTTAAAATGTGCATTTTAAATATATGATATATTTTTATATATTAAACATTAAATATATTTCTACATCTAATAGTTAATATATAATTTATGGATAAATATAAAAAATTTTATATATTATTATTATATATAAATAACTATCTTTAAATATATAATATATATTTTATATTTGAATTTATTTTTTATATATTTAAATATATATTTTATATATACTATATATATTTTAATATATATATATAATATATATACTATATATTTTATATATATTAATATATATAATATCTAGTATATTTATATATATATTATATATATTATATATATTATATATATATTATATATTATATATATTATATATAAATATATATATAATATATATAATATATATAATATATATTATATATATATAATATCTAGTATATTTAAAATATATATAATATTATATATAAATATAAATAGATTTTATATGAAATATTATATATAAAATAGAAACAGATTTTATATATTATATCATATATAAAATATAGATATATTTTTATACTATACATGGAATATATAAATAGAAATAACTGCAGAGAAGTGCCTGCAGCTCTCCTGGTCTGTGTGGAGAGGGTTCCCCAGCTGACACCAGTCACACACACCTGCAGACACAGACTCCCCCCTCCTCAGGCCAGGCTTTGTCCTGCCCTGGGCATCCTCTGCCTCGTCTCTGCTCTCCAGGATTTCCTCTCCAGCTTCCTTGGACATTCCAGGCTCCTTCCCTTCTGGCTGGGGACTCGACTCCCTCTGAGCAAGGCTGGCAGGAAGCTCCTGAGAATCTTTGTTTTTGTAAAATTTGCTTTCACACACCTGCAAAGCAACCCAGAGGCACAATCACCCACGGGTCTGCCCTTGCCAAACACACCTCAGGCTTTGCTGCCCAGGCATTCCTGGGCCTGCCAGGGGCTTCCCTTTGGCATTATGTTTGCTTTAGAGAAAAAAAATACAACCTAATAATAATAATAATAATAATAATAATAATAATAATAATATACAACCAACTAATAATAATAATAATAATCATCATCATCATCATCAAAGAATAATAAGCATTATAATTATTATTGTTATTATTATCATTGCTATTATTGTTATTTTATTCTTCTTATTGTTGTTATTATTATTGTTATTAATACCATTATTATGATGATCAATATTGTTATTTTATGCTTATTAATTTATTAGATTATGAAGATGATGATGATGATGATGGATGATTATTATTATTATAATCATCATCATCATTATTAATATTACTATTATCATCATCAGAAACTGACTTCTTCTTCTTCTTCTTCTTCTTATCATCATCATCATCCTCAGAAATTGGCCTCTTCACATAGTGGCCATGCCAGCATCCTCCACTCAAAAAACTTCTTAAGCCAGCAGAACACCAAAATTGAGATTTAGCAGAGCAAGGAGGGGCAGCAGAAAGGGAGGAGGGGAGAGAGATGGGAGAAGGGCAGGGAGGTGCAGGCAGAGCTCCAGGCAGGGAGGCACCTCTGGATTTGGGATTCCCCTGCTCCCCTCTGGATTTGGGATTCCCTTGCTCACCTCTGGATTTGGGATTCCCCTGCTCCCCTCTGGATTTGGGATTCCCTTCCTCACCTCTGGATTTGGGATTCCCCTGCCCCCCTCTGGATTTGGGATTCCCTTCCTCACCCCAGAATGGATTCCCTTCCTCAGCTCTGGATTTGGGATTCCCCTCCTCACCTCTGGATTTGGGATTCCCTTCCTCAGCTCTGGAATCCCAATTTAATCCCAATTTCATCTCTGGATGGATTCCCTTCCTCACCTCTGGATGGATTCCCTTCCTCACCTCTGGATTTGGGATTCCCCTCCTCACCTCTGGATTTGGGATTCCCTTCCTCACCTCTGGATTTGGGATTCCCTTCCTCACCCCAGGATGGATTCCCTCCCTCACCTCTGGATTTGGGATTCCCCTGCTCCCCTCTGGATGGATTCCCTTCCTCACCTCTGGAATCCCAATTTAATCTCAATTTAATCTCTGGATGGATTCTTTTCCTCACCTCTGGATGGATTCCCCTCCTCACCTCTGGATGGATTCCCCTCCTCACCTCTGGATTTGCGATTCCCTCCCTCACCTCTGGATTTGGGATTCCCTTCCTCCCCTCTGGGTTTGGGATTCCCCTCCTCATTTTTGGATGGATTCCCCTCCTCCCCTCTGGATTTGGGATTCCCCTCCTCAGCTCTGGTTTGGGCTTCCCCTCCTCCCCCAGGATTTGGGGGCTCCAGGACCCCTCCCCAGGACCCCTCCCTGACCTTGCTGCCACAATGGCTGCAGCTCCTCCTCTTGCTCTTCTTGAGCTTCGGGTCACTGCTCCCTTCATGGCAGGAACAGGAACAGGAACATTCCTTCAGCCCCTCCACCCACTCCACCTCCTGTGAACAGACAGACAGACAGACACTCCAGCTGACACACAGACAGACAGACAGACAGACACTCCAGCTGACACACACACAGACAGACAGACAGACAGACAGACAGACAGACACTCCAGCTGACACACACACAGACAGACACACAGACAGACAGACAGACAGACAAGGAACAGGGGCACACGGGGGCTCCAGCAGAGAACTGAAGCGCTGCTGGCAATCAAAGCACAGCAGAAACTTCCCCATCCCCTTCTTCCACCTCTGCCAGGTCGGTGCCACATCCTCAATAACACAATTCAACCCCAATTTAATCCCAATTCAACCCCAATTTAATCCCAATTCAATCCAAATTTAATCCCAATTTAATTTGCTCATAGGTGAGAAATACCAAGGAAATACCCCAGGCCCAATTTAATCCCAATTTAATCCCAATTTCATTTGCTCAGAGGTGAGAAATACCAAGGAAATACCCTAGGCCAAATTTATTCCCAATTTAATCCCAATTTCATTTGCTCACAGATGAGAAACACCAGGGAGATGCCCCAGCCCCACCTTGTCGTGGTGTTGGCCTCCAATCTCCTTCCTCTTCTTGTTTCTGGTGGCTCCATGAATTTTGGGTGGTTCATCCTCCTCTTCTACATCTGGCAGAGACACCTCCTCAAAGCCATCAAACTGCAGCAGAACAAACACACAACAGCTGCTCTCAGCTCACCCAAATTTTGGGTTTTTTCCCCCCCAGAAAACAAAAATTCTGTTCAAAAATTCAAAAGGTTTGCTTCATCCCACCAGCAGCTCTCCCACCCCTCTGCTTCTGGAACTGCACCCTCCTCTAATTGAGTTCTTCCAGCTCCAATATGATTCTTATCTGTGCTTTTATCATTTCTGGTTTTGGGGAGAAGGTTGCAGCACCTCATATTCCTTCTCTTCTGTCCAGTTGATCTCCTCAAAGTCTCCCATGCGGCTGGCAGAGGGTCGGAGGTGATCAAAGAAAACTGAGAACTCATCCTGCAGGTGGTCATGGCCCTTCAGCAGCTGCCACATTTGGGTCTTCAGCTGGAAGAGGAAAAACCCACAAAAATCATCCCACCTCATGTCCTTGTCCTCTAAAGGATCTCAGAGCAAGGGGAGCAGCAGAGATCGTTACACATCCAATGTGGAAGGTGGGGAGGGAACAAATCCTGGGTGTTCTGAGATCATTCCCCACCCAGCTAGCAAATTAGCCTGGAAATTGTCCAATTAGCCTGGAAATATTCCTCCAGAATTCCTGGCAGACTCTGTAGAGGACACAAAGCCTCAACTGCAAGGTGCTAGAGGCAAGGTGGAGGTGGGAGAGAGAAAACACAGACTCTGTGTTTCTTCTCCAATTCCCCTTGAATCCAAGGCCAGGTTGGATGGGAATTGGAGAAACCAACTGGTGGGAAGTGTCCCTGGGGGTGCAATGAGATGGGCTCTAAGCTCCTTCCCAACCCAAACCATTTTGTGATCCATGCATCCACCCATCCATCCATCATCCATCATCCATCCATCCATGCATCATCCATCCATGCATCCATCCATGCATCCATCCATCCATCATCCATCCATGCATCCATCCATGCATCCATCCATCCATCATCCATCCATCCATCATCCATCCATCATCCATCATCCATCATCCATCCATCCATCCATCATCCATCCATCCATCCATCCATCATCCATCCATCCATCCATCATCCATCCATCCATCATCCATCCATCCATCCATCCATCCATCATCCATCCATCCATCCATCCATCCATCCATCCATCATCCATCCATCCATCATCCATCCATCCATCCATCCATCCATCATCCATCCATCATCCATCATCCATCCATGCATCCATCCATGCATCCATCCATCCATCATCCATCCATCCATCATCCATCCATCATCCATCCATCATCCATCCATCCATCATCCATCCATCATCCATCCATCCATCCATCATCCATCCATCCATCATCCATCCATCCATCCATCCATCCATCATCCATCCATCATCCATCCATCCATCCATCATCCATCCATCATCCATCCATCCATCATCCATCATCCATCCATCATCCATCCATCCATCCATCATCCATCCATCCATCATCCATCCATCATCCATCATCCATCCATCATCCATCCATCCATCCATGCATCCATCCATCATCCATCCATCCATCCATCATCCATCCATCCATCCATCCATCCATCCATCATCCATCCATCCATCCATCCATCCATCCATCCATCATCCATCCATCCATCATCCATCCATCCATCCATCCATCCATCATCCATCCATCATCCATCCATCATCCATCATCCATCCATCCATCATCCATCCATCATCCATCCATCCATCCATCCATCCATCCATCCATCATCCATCCATCCATCATCCATCCATCCATCCATCCATCCATCCATCCATCATCCATCCATCCATCATCCATCCATCCATCATCCATCCATCCATCCATCCATCATCCATCCATCATCCATCCATCCATCCATCATCCATCCATCCATCCATCCATCCATCCATCATCCATCCATCCATCCATCATCCATCCATCATCCATCCATCCATCCATCCATCCATCCATCCATCCATCATCCATCATCCATCCATCATCCATCCATCCATCCATCCATCCATCCATCATCCATCCATCCATCATCCATCCATCATCCATCCATCCATCCATCCATCATCCATCCATCCATCCATCATCCATCCATCCATCCATCATCCATCATCCATCCATCATCCATCCATCCATCCATCCATCCATCCATCATCCATCCATCCATCATCCATCCATCATCCATCCATCCATCCATCCATCCATCCATCCATCCATCATCCATCCATCCATCATCCATCCATCATCCATCCATCATCCATCCATCCATCCATCATCCATCCATCCATCATCCATCCATCCATCCATCATCCATCCATCATCCATCCATCATCCATCCATCATCCATCCATCCATCCATCATCCATCCATCCATCCATCATCCATCCATCCATCCATCCATCATCCATCCATCATCCATCATCCATCCATCATCCATCCATCCATCATCCATCCATCATCCATCCATCCATCCATCATCCATGCATCCATCATCCATCCATCATCCATCCATCATCCATCATCCATCCATCCATCATCCATCCATCATCCATCCATCCATCCATCATCCATCCATCCATCCATCCATCCATCCATGAATTTGAGCTGTAAACCCAAAATCTGTGAGCCCAGGCAGACTCTGTAGATGACACAAAGCCTCAGAGAGGCTTTGGGAGAGAGGAAACACAGACTCTGTGTTTTTTCTCCAATTCCCCCTGAATCCAAGGCCAGGTTGGATGGGAATTGGAGAAACCAATGGTGGGAAGTGTCCCTGGGGGTGCAATGAGTTGGGCTTTAAGATCCTTCCCAACCCAAACCATTTTGTCATCAATCAATCAATCAATCAATCAATCAATCCATCCATGAATTTGATGACCAAAGGGAGAATGCTGCCATGGTCTCCAGGAGCACAGGGCCAGGGAACGAGGCTGGCTGGGAGAAGAGGGCTCCCTGCTCACCTCTGCGATCTCCTGGGGCACACAGTCTGCACAGCTCTGCAGGACTTTGATGATCTTTTGGTGGTGGGCAGGATTTTCAGCAAAGCAGATCTCCAGCTGCCTGAGGAACTTCCTGCTCTTTTCAAAGGCTTGCTGCTCCTCAAACTGGCCAAAAGAAAAAGATTCACCCTCGTGTTCAAGCACATATTCCCAAGCATCTGGAATTGACTTAAACAAATAAAATTCCTCTCCTGGGCTTTGTTTTCCATTGTGTTGATGCCCTTCACAAAAGTGGGAAGAGGCAGAGGAAGAGAAACACCACTTGGAATAATCAACAATATTGTTAATATCAACAATATTGTTAATATTGTTAAGGTGATGCATCCCTAGTTGCTCAAATAGCCAGGGTGTTTATACCCCTTTTTTTGGTCTGTCTGCAGAACCACAGCCTCAAGATTATTGTGCAAAAAGATTTTCCTTCTGGTGGTTTAAAGCTTTCAGGTGCTTTACAGCCTCTCACTGTCACTGAGCTATAAAGTTTGGCTTTGCACATAAAACAGGGAAATTCAGGAAGAATGAAGAGGTGAAACCTCAATCCTGCCAAGTGGGAGGCAGATGTGGAGACAGGGGAATCACTGCTTGATGCTGTCTCTGCAGCCAGGTGGGAAAGGCTGATCCTCCACAGCCACACTGAGCAGGAGATTTATAAAGAACACCCAACTTTCCAGTTCTGATTAATAAAAGTAGCAAGGCAAAAAAGTCAAAGATTTGAATAGTCACTATCTCTAAAAACAAACCTATTCATCCTTTTACTCCCAAGCTTTTATGTCACTTAAAACCCGACCTCCTCCTCTCACTCTACCTACCAGCCCACACTCCAGAGCTTGTTCTGGTAGCAGAAAGGCAGCAAAATCAGTGAGCAGCTGTGGCCAGTCGTGCAGCAGCTTCTGCAGAGTGGAGTAGAGATCCACGGCTGTCCGTTTGTCCGTGCTGATCTCAAACTCGTAGATGACGCGCAGGAAATCTTCGTATTTCCCTGGGATGTGCTGCAGGGTCTCACGGACCTGGGGGGATTGGTGACACCAGGAGGAGAAAGCAGCTCAGTACAGAGTATTTTGTGTTGGAAGGGATGGTAAAAATCAGCTCGTTCCAAGCCCTTGCTGTGGGCACTTTGCACCATCCCAGGTTGCTCCAAGCCGGCCTTGGGCAGCCACAGCTGCTCTGGGCACCCTGTGCCAGGGTCTCAGCACCCTCCCAGGGAGGAATTTCTCCCTCAATTCTGTTCATCTACCAATCTTTGATCTCCTCTACTCAGAATTTACACAGGATTTGCAATTTTGTTGAAGCAACCAAGTGATTTCCTGGAGATGACCCAAAGCTGCTCATCCCAGAGCAGACTGGGAAGGTCAGAAATTCAGAAGGTTCTGCTGCTGTGAACTGAGCACCCCCAGCCCCTGAGTCCTTCACTTCCAGCTCCCCCTCTTAGGACAGGAGAGGGAGGAGGAAGAACAACAGCAGGAATCTGCTGAAATTGAATTTTCCAATTTTAGGCAGCTCTGGAGGGGTTTGAATTCTGCTCCTTAACAAAATCCTTCAGCTGGGCAGGTGCTGAGCTGTGAAACTGGCTGTGAGGAAGCTGCTGAATGATATTAAACCAAATCAAATCAAACAATGGGATTTGTTTTGTTATTTCTAAGGCATTCCCAGGCAGAGAACTCTGAGCCTGAGGAAGAGGAGGAGCTGCTCTCCTCCTCTCAAAAAAGGAACACTTTGGGAAGTGAAGCACCACATGTAGGAATAAATAACTGCACCCCAGGCAGACCCAGCAGTTCTGTGGCACAAAACCCCAAGTTTCTGATGTTCTGGGGCAGAAAACCCCACATTTCTGATGTTCTGGGGCAGAAAACCCCACATTTCTGCTGTTCTGTGGCACAAAACCCCACATTTCTGATTTCTGTGGCAGAAAACCCCACATTCCTGATGCTCTGTGACAGAAACCCCCACATTTCTGATTTCTGTGGTACAAAACCCCACATTTCTGATTTGTGGCACAAAACCCCACATTTCTGATGCTCTGTGGCACAAAACCCCAAATTCCTGATGTTCTGTGGCACAAAACCCCACATTTCTGATGTTCTCTGGCACAAACCCCCCATTTCTGCTGCTCCTGGGCTGCCTTACCCTGGTCAGGTAGGCCTGGGCAAAGGCCAGGTCCTTCTGCTCCCTCAGGATTCTGATTTCTGTGGCAGAAACCCCACATTTCTGATGTTCTGTGCCACAAACCCCCACATTTCTGATGTTCTGTGGCAGAAAACCCCACCTTTTTATGTTCTGTGGCACAAACCCCCCATTTCTGCTGCTCTGTGGCACAAACCCCACATTTCTGATTTCTGTGCCACAAAACCCCACATTTCTGCTGCTCTGTGGCACAAAACCCCACATTTTTGATGTTCTGTAGCACAAAACCCCACATTTCTGATGTTCTGTGGCAGAAACCCCCACATTTCTGATTTCTGTGGAACAAAACCCCCACATTTCTGATTTCTGTGGCAGAAAACCCCACATTTTTTATGTCCTGTGGCACAAACCCCAAAGTTTCTGATGTTCTGTGGCACAAAACCCCCACATTTTGCTGCTCCTGGGCTGCCTTACCCTGGTCAGGTAGGCCTGGGCAAAGGCCAGGTCCTTCTGCTCCCTCAGGATTCTGATTTCTGTGGCACAAAACCCCACATTTCTGATGCTCTGTGGCAGAAAACCCCAAAATTCTGATGTTCTGTGGCACAAAAACCCACATTTCTGATGTTCTGTGGCACCAAACCCCACATTTCTGATGTTTTGTGGCACAAACCCCACATTTTTTATGTTCTGTGGCAGAAACCCCAAATTTCTGATTTCTGTGGCACAAACCCCCACATTTCTGCTGTTCTGTGGCACAAAACCCCACATTTTTTATGTCCTGTGGCACAAAACCCCCCATTTCTGATGTTCTGTGGCACAAAACCCCAAATTCCTGATGTTCTGTGGCACAAACCCCAAATTTCTGATGTTCTGAAATTTTTTATGTTCTCTGGCACAAAACCCCACATTTCTGATATTTTGTGGCACAAAACCCCACATTTCTGATGCTCTGTGGCACAAACCCCACATTTTTTATGTTCTGTGGCAGAAACCCCACATTTCTGATGCTCTGTGGCACAAACCCCACATTTTTGATGTTCTGTGGCAGAAAACCCCAAATTCCTGATGTTCTGTGGCACAAAACCCCACATTTTTTTATGTTCTCTGGCAGAAAACCCCACATTTCTGCTGTTCTGGGGCACAAAACCCCACATTTCTGATTTCTGTGGCAGAACCCCCTACATTTCTGATTTCTGTGGCACAAAACCCCCACATTTCTGCTGTTCTGTGGCACAAAACCCCCCATTTCTGGTGCTCCTGGGCTGCCTTACCCTGGTCAGGTAGGCCTGGGCAAAGGCCAGGTCCTTCTGCTCCCTCAGGATTCTGATTTCTGTGGCAGAAAACCCCACATTTCTGATGTTCTGTGGAACAAAACCCCCCCATTTCTGGTGCTCCTGGGCTGCCTTACCCTGGTCAGGTAGGCCTGGGCAAAGGCCAGGTCCTTCTGCTCCCTCAGGATTCTGATTTCTGTGGCACAAACCCCACATTTTTTATATTCTGTGGCACAAACCCCCCATTTCTGGTGCTCCTGGGCTGCCTTACCCTGGTCAGGTAGGCCTGGGCAAAGGCCAGGTCCTTCTGCTCCCTCAGGGGGTCCCTCTCCAGGATGTCCTCGTCGTAGAGCAGCAGCAGCTTGGAGGTGTCTTTGCTGCCACGAGCTCTGCCCCTCTTGCTCCTGGTCCTGTGGGAGCTCCTGCTCTTCCCTGGGGCTTTCAGGTTCTCTCCTGTGGAGGAGCAGGAGGTGATTCAGTGGCAGAGGCACCCCAGGGCTCTGCCAGGGCAATATTGCAACAGAAATTGTTGTAAAATTTATGCCAAAATATACATTGGCTGTGCTCCCTGGAAGTGGAGGAGAAATTCATTTCCCAAGAGTCAAGCTGGCTAAAATCCTGATTTTGTTGCTTGTTTCTACAGCATCTGACTGGAGAAATCTCTGGATGCAGCCACAGGTTTTTGTGGAACTAAAAAAAATCCCTCACACCAGGGCAGAACAACCACAAAGGGAACAGAGACACAGCACAAGCCCAGAGCTGTGCTGCAAATTTTAGATAATTATTTACAACATAGTTAAAATCATAGATAAACACCTGGTGTCACCCAACAGGGAATTAAACAGGGAACTAAGGGGGTTACATCCAGATTTTTGTGGCTTGAGGTTTAGGAATCTGCTGATTTAATGGGCTGAGGTCCCCTCCTCAAAATTCACTGCTCAAGTTCATTTAGCACTTGGACTTTGTTCCATTGCCTTTTCTCCAACATGACCTTGTCAGACAAAATTCAAATCAGCAGAGATTTGACTGTTTAATATTGTTCTTCTAAAATTATCCTTATTAGCTGACACAAACCATGAATCTGTCTGCAAACATGCAAGGGAGCTGTGACTGGCTCCTAAAATTGGATTCCCAGCTGGAAAACACCACTGGGCTCAGATATACCCAGGGAGTTAAACCCAAACAGGATCCCCAGTGGTTGGTTTGCCCTGCAGAGAGCAACTCTACTTCCCCACTCCCTGGGTCCAAAAACCCCACAGCACTCACCTGTCCAAAAACCCCACAGCACTCACCTGTCCAAAAACCCCACAGCACTCACCTGCTGTCCAAAAACCCCACAGCACTCACCTGTCCAAAAACCCCACAGCACTCACCTGTCCAAAAACCCCACAGCACTCCCCTGCTGTCCCCAAACCCCACAGCACTCACCTGTCCAAAAACCCCACAGCACTCACCTGTCCAAAAACCCCACAGCACTCACCTGTCCAAAAACCCCACAGCACTCACCTGTCCAAAAACCCCACAGCACTCACCTGTCCAAAAACCCCACAGCACTCACCTGTCCAAAAACCCCACAGCACTCACCTGCTGTCCAAAAACCCCACAGCACTCCCCTGCTGTCCCAAACCCCACAGCACTCACCTGCTGTCCCAAAAACCCACAGCACTCACCTGCTGTCCCCAAACCCCACAGCACTCACCTGTCCAAAAACCCCACAGCACTCACCTGTCCAAAAACCCCACAGCACTCACCTGTCCAAAAACCCCACAGCACTCACCTGCTGTCCCAAAAACCCCACAGCACTCACCTGTCCAAAAACCCCACAGCACTCACCTGCTGTCCCAAAAACCCCACAGCACTCACCTGTCCAAAAACCCCACAGCACTCACCTGTCCAAAAACCCCACAGCACTCCCCTGCTGTCCCAAACCCCACAGCACTCACCTGTCCAAAAACCCCACAGCACTCACCTGTCCAAAAACCCCACAGCACTCCCCTGCTGTCCAAAAACCCCACAGCACTCCCCTGCTGTCCAAAAACCCCACAGCACTCCCCTGCTGTCCAAAAACCCCATAGCACTCCCCTGTCCAAAAACCCCACAGCACTCACCTGCTGTCCAAAAACCCCACAGCACTCACCTGCTGTCCAAAAAAACCCCACAGCACTCCCCTGCTGTCCAAAAAAACCCCACAGCACTCACCTGCTGTCCAAAAAAACCCCACAGCACTCACCTGCTGTCCAAAAAACCCCACAGCACTCACCTGTCCAAAAACCCCACAGCACTCACCTGCTGTCCAAAAAACCCCACAGCACTCACCTGTCCAAAAACCCCACAGCACTCACCTGCTGTGCAAAAAACCCCACAGCACTCACCTGTCCAAAAACCCCACAGCACTCACCTGTCCAAAAAAACCCCACAGCACTCCCCTGCTGTCCCAAACCCCACAGCACTCCCCTGCTGTCCAAAAAACCCCACAGCACTCACCTGCTGTCCAAAAAAACCCCAAAGAACTCACCTGCTGTCCCCAAACCCCCCTGCTGTCCCCAAGCCCCCTGCACTCCCCTGCTGTCCCCAAACCCCACAGCACTCACCTGTCCAAAAACCCCACAGCACTCCCCTGCTGTCCCCAAACCCCCTGCACTCCCCTGCTGTCCCCAAACCCCCTGCACTCACCTGCTGTCCCCTGCTGTCCCCAATCCCCCTGCACTCCCCTGCTGTCCCCAAACCCCTGCACTCACCTGCTGGCCTCCTGTGGGCCTCCACCTGTGGGGAAGCTGCCTTGGCCATGGTGAAAGCAGATTTAGGCTCCTCTGCTGTGTCCCCACACGTTTCATCATCTTTCTGCAAGCTCTCTATTCCTTCCCCTTCCTCCTCCTCCTCTTCCTCAGGCTCAGAGTTCTCCTCCTGGGAATTCTCCTCTTCAGAATCTCCCTCTTGGCTTAAACGTCTCTCTGTTGCAAGCCAAGTCAGTTTTTCCATTGTTTCCTTAGAAATAATAAAAATCAATCCAATTGTTTGATTTGATTTGCTTTAATATCATTCAGCAGCTTCCTCACAGCCAATTTCACAGCTCAGCACCTGCCCAGCTGAAGGATTTTGTTAAGGAACAGAATTCAAACCCCTCCAGAGCTGCCTAAAATTGGAAAATTCAATTCCAGCATCTGCCATTCAGCAAATCAGGCCTTAATTTAGAAGGGATTCATTATTGATTCCTTAATTATCATCTTAGATCTTCAAGGCTTGCTGGAATTGTGACCTGCAAAGTCATTTTTATTTTAAGTATTCTTAGAGAGCAGCCTCATTGAGGAATCCCTGCAGCTCAGCAGAGTTTAGATCTGCATATTTGCAATATAATTCCTTAGTCTGGGTTTAAAATGTGCCCAGGAAAACCTGGGTTTTAATTTCTCTGTGACCAGGACAATGCCAGGCTGTTAGAGAGTTATCAGCCCATGTTCCCAGTGGGGTTCCCTGTGGGATTTCCAGTGGGGTTTCCAGTGGGATCCTCAGTGGGGTCCTCAGTGGGATTCCCAGTGGGATTTCCTGATCCCCAGTGGGATCCCCAGTAGGATTTCCATTGGGATTTCAGTGGGGTCCTCAGTGGGATTTCCTGATCCCCAGTGGGATCCCCAGTAGAATTTCCATTGGGATTTCAGTGGGGTTCCCAGTAGGATTTCCAGTGGGATCCCCAGTGGGGTTTTCAGATCCCCAGTAGGATTTCCAGTGGGATTCTCAGATCCCCAGTGGGATTTCCAGTGGGATTCTCAGTGGGATCTCCAGTGGGGCCCTCAGTGGAGTTCCCAGTGGGATCCCCAGTAGGATTTCCATTGGGATTTCAGTGGGGTCCTCAGTGGGATTCTCAGATCCCCGGTGAGATTTCCAGTGGAATCCCCAGTGGGATCCTCAGTGGGACTTCCAGTAGGATTTCCAGTGGGATCCCCAGTGGGATCCCCAGTAGAATTTCCATTGGGATTTCAGCGGGGTTCTCAGTAGGATTTCCAGTGGGATCCCCAGTGGGATTTTCAGATCCCCAGTGGGATCCCCAGTGGGATTTTCAGATCCCCAGTGGGATTCCCAGTGGGATCCTCAGTGGGATTTCCAGTAGGATTTCCAGTGGGATCCCCAGTGGGATTTCCAGTGGGATCCTCAGTGGGATTTCCAGTAGGATTCCCAGTGGGATTCCCAGTGGGATTTTCAGATCCCCAGTGGGATCCCCAGTGGGATCCCTGACTCCACAGGGTGTTTTAGGACACCCACAGTCACCCCTTCCCTAAGGGTTTTCCAGTTTTATCTTTTCATGTTTTATCTTTACCTGCAGTTCTGGCACTGACAGAATCGACTCTTCTGAGGCTGACGACATCTCCTCATCCTCATCTTGTGTAAAATCATCAAAATCATCTTCTTCCTCCTCTTCCTGCCCTTCCCTGTCCCCTGCAGCCTCGGGCCCGGCCGGTGTCCCCACAGACTGCCCGTCAATGCTGGAGGAGTCCTCCGGCCTTGCCGGGGGGCTGCTGAACTCTGCCTCCCTCTCAGCTGGGTGAGGGGGGATCTTTGGGGAGTCACTGCTGCCTGCTGGCCCTGCAGCCCCCCCGGGCTCCCCCTGCTGCTCCCCCTGCGGAGGGGAGGGCAGGGCCTGGCGCTCCTCCTCTCCCTTCTCCTCACAGGGCCCGTGCTCCTTCTTGGCCTCATCCCCGCCGCAGGAACAAGCGGCCTCCATGTTCAGCTCCTGGCCAAGGCCCAGCATGAACTCCTCCTTCCTCTCAGCACATAGAAGATCTCTTTTTTGGGCCAGGTTGGCTTCTTTGGGAGCATCACTTAAATCTTCTGACTTGATTTCCACCGACGCATCAGGATTTTCTAAATGAGGCAAAAGCTCCACCACTGGCAAAGGCTCTGATGTGTTCCCATCTCCTTCTCCCACTGCCCAGCTGCAGCAGTCCCCCTTGTTCCCCTTGTCCTGAGTGTCCCCATGGGCAGGGTTTGTGCCACACTCCTTCTTTGGGGACAGAGTGGAGCAGGGCACAAAGAGCTCTGGGGGCTCCACCTTGGGCTCCACGGCAGGAAAAGCTCCTGGAGCAGGGAGCAGGGTCAGCTTCTCCTCCCCTTCAGCCCCAGCAGGAGCAGAGAGCCCAACAGGGCTGGGAGAGACAATCAGGGATGGGATGGAAGAGGTGACCAGAGGCTGGTTTAAGGGGCATGGGAAGGTGGAGGGATTCACCAGCAGGGTTGTGACAGGAATGGCCTGAGCGCCCCGGCCCACGGCCGTGCTCAGGGGCTGGATCACGTTGCAGCCATTGCCAATGTTCAGCACCTTCACTGTGGTGGCAGGGACAGTCAGGATGACAGGGGAGGGCTGGATCACAGGGGAAGCTTTGATCACCGGGGCCGATTTCGTCCCTTTTTTCCTCTGGTAGCTCTTCCTCACGCACGGTTTGCGCGTCCTCATCCCGCCCAAGGCCGGCAGCATCACCTTGGGCTGGAAGGCCCCTGGCTCTGAGGCCACCAGAGCTGGGCCTACAGCAGCTGGGAAGGCTTGTCTGGAGTGTGGCTGGCCAGTGGAAAGAACATTCTGGAATTCCAAGGCATCCCCAGCTGCCAGCACTGCTGGGACTTTCAGGGGTGGCGGCGCTGGCTGGATGGGCCGAGGGACGCGGCCCCGGCCCCTGCTGGGGGCAGCCTCGGACTGAGGCAATTTCTGATTTTTCTGCACGCTCAGGGGGCTGGAGCTGGGCTGCAGGCAGGGGCTGGGGCGGATCAGGACGGGTTTCAGAGCTGAGGATCTCTGCCTCCTCCAGGGCCTCCTGGAGAAGCGGTTGCCCAAAGGTTTCAGGGTGAGCACGAGCCCCTTGGGCATCAGCAAAGGGTATTTGTCATCACAGCCCCTGCCTGCAGCTCCCCTCTCTGCCCCCACAAGGGCAGATTCTCCAGCAGGTGAGGCTGGTGTCTCCTTGGCATCTTCTGCCAGCTGCTTCAGCTCTCCCTGGATGGAGGGCAAGCTTGCCTGAAGGGAGCAAGAATTTATTGGAATTGTTATTTATGGGCTATTTCTGTATTTCCACCTCCAGAGCACAAAAGGTAACAGAGCTTCCTCTGTTTTATTTCCTTTATAGTACTGCATGTTGCTTAAGAGTACTTTAAATTCAGGAGTTGCACTGCAAAGCCTTTAGGAGACTCTGAGCTCCTGAGAAAAACAAAGTTTTATGCTTTATAAAGGTTGCTTTAGTAAAAATAAGATTTTGTGGGAAGGAAACTTCCCTGTGTAACAGGGGGTGATCAAGAAAAATGGATTTTATGGCATTTGAGTGCAGTTGTTCCCTTGGGCACAGTCCTCCCTGACTGCCTGACTCACAGGAATGGTCTCTGTGCCTCCAAGAAAAATCCACATGAAAAGGAGATCCACAAAAGGGAAAAAATCCATAAGGAAAAAAATCCATAAGGAAAATCCACAAGGAAAAAAACCAGAAGGAAAAAATCCACAAGGGGTAAAAATCCATAAGGGGAAAATCCACACAAGGGAAAAAACCACAAGGGAAAAAAACACAAGGGAAAAAATCCAAAAGGAAAATCCACAAGGGGGAAAAAATCCACAAGGGGGAAAAAATCCAAAAGGAAAAAATCCACAAGGGGAAAATCCACAAGGGAAAAAATCCATAAGGGGAAAAATCCACAAGGGGAAAAAATCCATAAGGGAAAAAATCCACAAGGGGAAAAAATCCACAAGGGGAAAAAATCCACAATAGGAAAAAAAACAGAAGGAAAAAATCCACAAGGGGAAAAAATCCACACAAGGGAAAAAACCACAAGGGAAAAAAATCCAAAAGGAAAATCCACAAGGGGAAAAAATCCACAAGGGAAAAAATCCACAAGGGGAAAAAATCCACAAGGGGAAAAAATCCACAAGGAAAAAATCCAAAAGGAAAAAAAATCCACAAGGGGAAAAATCCATAAGGGGAAAATCCACAAGGGGATAAATCCATAAGGAAAAAAATCCACAAGGAAAAAAATCCAAAAGGAAAATCCACAAAGGAAAAATCCAAAGGGAAAATCCACAAGGGGAAAAAATCCACAAGGGGAAAAAATCCACAAGGGAAAAATCCACAAGGGAAAAAATCCTTAAGGGAAAAAATCCACAAGGGGAAAAAATCCACAAGGGGGACAAAAATCCACAAGGGGGACAAAAATCCACAAGGGGGACAAAAATCCACAAGGAAAATCCACAAGGCAAAAATCCACAAGGCAAAAATCCACAAGGGGATAAATCCATAAGGGGAAAATCCACAAGGGAAAAATCCACAAGGGGATAAATCCATAAGGGGAAAATCCACAAGGGAAAAAACCACAAGGGGATAAATCCATAAGGGGAAAATCCACAAGGGAAAAAATCCACGCCAAACCAAATAAAAGCCCCAAGAAATGACCCAAGCACCACCTCCCCCAGCAATTACCTTTAACCAGAAGGGCAGGCGATGCTCCTCCCTCTCCACGGGAGGTTTCCACTGGTGGGGCTGGATTTCCTCACAGCACTTCACCAGCACAGGCAGCTGCTTCGTCTTCTTGTAGTACTGTGGGGACAGGGGACAGAGGCACACAGTGCCACTGCTCAGGGCACTGCTGGGACACAGGGCTGGGACACAGGGCTGGGACACAGGGCTGGGACACGGGGCTGGGACACGGGGCTGGGACACGGGGCTGGGACACGGGGCTGGGACACGGGGCTGGGACACGGGGCTGGGACACGGGGCTGGGACACACACAGGGCTGGGACACACACAGGGCTGGGACACGGGGCTGGGACACACACAAGGCTGGGACACACACAGGGCTGGGACACACACAGGGCTGGGACACAGGGCTGGGACACGGGGCTGGGACACGGGGCTGGGACACGGGGCTGGGACACGGGGCTGGGACACGGGGCTGGGACACACACGGGGCTGGGACACACACAGGGCTGGGACACACACAGGGCTGGGACACACACAGGGCTGGGACACGGGGCTGGGACCCGGGGCTGGGACACGGGGCTGGGACACACACAGGGCTGGGACACAGGGCTGGGACACACACGGGGCTGGGACACGGGGCTGGGACACACACAGGGATGGGACACACACAGGGCTGGGACACACACGGGGCTGGGACACACACAGGGCTGGGACACACACGGGGCTGGGACCCGGGGCTGGGACACACACAGGGCTGGGACACAGGGCTGGGACACACACGGGGCTGGGACACGGGGCTGGGACACACACAGGGATGGGACACACACAGGGCTGGGACACACACGGGGCTGGGACACGGGGCTGGGACACACACAGGGATGGGACACACACAGGGCTGGGACACACACGGGGCTGGGACACGGGGCTGGGACACACACGGGGCTGGGACACACACGGGGCTGGGACACAGGGCTGGGCCCTCTGCCAGCGCTCATGCCAAGAAAGTGATTTTTAATAGGGTGCTACCCACAGGAACAGGAAAATCAGTAACCAAGGGCTCACTGCTGAGATCCTGGCTGCTCTCCCCGAGGTTCAGGCAGCTGGGCAGGGGTTGCTTGGCTTTAGCTGGTTTTGTTTTGTGCAGGGGTTGTTTTAGCTGGTTTTGTTTTGTGCAGAGGTTGTTTTATCTGGTTTTGTTGCCAGCTGTTGTTTTATCTGGTTTTGCTCCCATGTGTTATTTTATATGGTTTTGTGCAGCTATTCTTTTATCTGTTTTTTTTCCCAGCTGTTCTTTTATCTGTTTTTTATCCCAGCTGTTGTTTTATCTGTTTTTTTCCCCAGCTGTTGTTTTATCTGGTTTTGTTCCCATGTGTTGTTTTATCTGGTTTTTATCCCAGCTGTTCTTTTATCTGTTTTTTGTTCCCAGCTGTTGTTTTATCTGGTTCTGTTCCCAGCTGTTGTTTTATCTGGTTTTTATCCCAGCTGTTGTTTTACCTGGTTTTGTTCCCAGCTGTTCTTTTATCTGCTTTTGTTCCCAGCTGTTGTTTTATCTATTTTGTTCCCAGCTGTTGTTTTATCTGTTTTTTTTTTTTCCCCTTGTGTTGTTTTATGTTTTTTTCCCAGCTGTTGTTTCATCTGGTTTTGTTTTGTGCAGCTGTTATTTTATCTGGTTTTGTTCCCAGCTGTTCTTTTATCTGGTTTTATGCAGCTGTTGTTTTATCTGGTTTTATGCAGCTGTTGTTTTATCTATTTTTTCCCCAGTTGTTGTTATATCTGGTTCTGTTCCCAGCTGTTCTTTTATCTGTTTTTTATCCCAGCTGTTGTTTTACCTGGCTTTGTTCGCAGCTGTTGTTTTATCTGGTTTTATGCAGCTGTTGTTTTACCTGGTTTTGTTCCCAGCTGTTGGTTTATCTGTTTTTTATCCCATGTGTTCTTTTATCTGTTTTTTTTCCCAGCTGTTCTTTTATCTGTTTTTTTCCCATGTGTTGTTTTATCTGGTTTTTTTTCCCAGCTATTCTTTTATCTGGTTTTGTTTTATGCAGCTGTTGTTTTATCTGTTTTTTCCCCAGCTGTTGTTTTATCTGTTTTTTCCCCAGCTGTTGTTTTATCTGGTTTTGTTTTATGCAGCTGTTGTTTTACCTGGTTTTGTTCCCATGTGTTGTTTTATCTGTTTTTTTCCCAGCTGTTGTTTTATCTGTTTTTTTTCCCAGCTGTTATTTTATCTGTTTTTTTTCCCAGCTGTTCTTTTACCTGCTTTTGTCCCCCCAGTTTATGGGACAGGATGAGTGCCCAGCTGGCTGCACACACCACCTTTGTTTCAATTTTGCTACTCAAAAGCTCCCTTGGATGAATATTTCACCAGCATTACTGAGTTTTACCAGGACTATCTCAGCTCTAAAGAGTCAAACCAGTATCCAAACACCAGTGGCTAAGGGAAACAAAAGGTTAAACCCTCACTGCTACCCCAGGGGTGCTATTTAATTTAAAATAAGGAGCCTTGGAACACAGAGGCCTTACCCTGATGATGTTGTCAGGGGCTCTGTTCATGTTGAGGTTCTTGATCCTCACTGTCAGCTGGTGGGCAGTTTTGGTGGGCAGGAGGTATTTGCTGATCAAAGGCTTGGGGAAATCCGTGCCCTCGAAATGTTTCAGCCCTAAAGCCAACAAGCTGGCCAGGAAAGATGGAGGGGAGAACATGAGAAACCTCTCAGCTCTGCCCAAGGGTTGCAATTCTCTTTACCAAACCAACTTTGCAGCCATTTTGTGCAGTAACTGCAGCACCTACTTGTCCTCTGCCTTGGTGAAGACGATCTTGTCTCGGGGAGGGTTTGCTCTCAAGGAACAAATTGGCAGCAGCTCTGGGTACATAAAAACTTTCCTGGTTGCCAAAATCCAGGCCACTTGCTTTGGCAAACATGAGAATTCATTTGCTGTGGGAAGAATGAACAGGGAAGGGCAGTTTGGTGGGTGTGGATGGAGGTTTTTCACAGCTCACTTCTTGAAAACCCCGCTTCTTTTACTGCTTTCACTGCAAAAAGAATTTCTTCCTGTTTTTAAAATGTGCAGATTTTCTCATTTTCCCCTCTAACCAGCAAAAGGTAAAATTCTTTTCTCCTTCCATCTTTTCTTTTGCTCTGTAGCAAGGCAAAGACCAAGTGGCCACTCTGAGCCAAGAAACACTTTTAGTATACTGCAATTAAGAAATAATAATTAACTTCTGATTGTGATGGTGTGAGTTATGACATCTCTACTGCCTCACTCATTACATGAGACTGAAAATGGAATCAAAGTTGTTTTAAACACCTCTCAATTGCCCCAAATCTGGGTGAGAAAAGGAATTAACCCACCCTGTCCCCTCACTTATCATCCTGCTCCTGCTTTCCCCAGCCTGTTCCTGTGGGGAATGGATTGGTAGAAAATTGGTGTGGCTAAAGCTGATAGGCCAATGAACATTGTTAGTACATTGTAATTAGGAAATAATTAACTTCTGATTGTGATGGCATGAATTATAACACCTGTATTATCTCACCCTTCACATGAGACTGAAAATAGAACCAAAGTTGTTTAAAACACCTCTCAATTGCCCCAAATCTGGGTCAGAAAAGGGCATAACCCACCCTGTCCCCTCACTTATCATCCTGCTCCTGCTTTCCCCACCTTGTTCCTGTGGGAAATGGATTGGTAGAAAATTGGTGTGGCTAAAGCTGATAGGCCAATGAACATTGTTAGTACATTGCAAATAAGAAATAATTAACTTCTGATTGTGATGGCATGAATTACAACATCTGGATTGTCTCACTCTTCACATGAGACTGAAAACAGAACCAAAGTTGTTTAAAACACCTCTGAGTTGCCCCAAATCTGGGTCAGAAAAGGAATTAACCCCCCTGCCCCTCCCTTACCATTCTTCACAGCCTTCCTGGGGCTCCAGTCCACGGGCACCTGGGCATGGAAGTCCTGAAGGAGCTGCAGGGCCCCCTGCAAGTTGCAGGGCTGGAACATGCTCTGGAATTTGGGCTCCTGGGGCGCCTGGTGCAGGCTGGAGCTGCAGGCAAAGCTCCCGAGCTCGCTCTGCAAAGGCAGCACAGAAACACAGCAGAGACAGGGAACAGACAGAGAGCAGGGAAAAATCAGATTATAAAGGAGAAATTGTCATATTATAAATAGGATCTCATCAGGTTTAAATTAAAATTTATCAGCTGATGATAAATCTTCATTTGGGGCATCACAAATGCAGGGTGGAGGTGAGGGTGGGGAGGTATTGGCACAGGTGCTCAGAAAATTCTGCATTCCCCATCCCTGGCCAGCACTTGCAGATTTTCAATTTTTCCCCCCTAAATTTCATCACAAAAGGTAAAATTCTTTTCCCCTTCCATCTTTTCTTCCATTTTCCTCTGGGGCAGGGGAAGGTGCCCCTGGTGCTCCATTCAGGTGGAACTGAGGGAGCTTTAGGGACCCTCCCCACCCAAACCATTCTGGGATTCCAGGACTTTCAGTTCTTTTGCAATTCCCACCCTCCCCACAATTCCAATATTTATCCCATTAAAGCCATTATCCATTCCAACATTTATCCCATTTAACTGAAAACTAAGGTTCCTTTCCATTCATTTAATAAAGTAAATAAATAATAAATTGCATTTATTATTTAAATGAAATTTAAATAAATAAATATATTTATTTAAATGAAACTTAATAAATAAATTTATTTAAATGAAACTTAAATAAATATATTTATTTAAATGCAATTTAAATAAATAAATATATTTATTTAATTGAAATTTAAATAAATAAATTTATTTGAATGAAATTTAAATAAATAAAAATATTTATCTAAATGCAATTTAAATAAATAAATTTATTTAAACGAAATTTAAATAAATAACTATATTTATTTAAACAAAACTTAAATAAATAACTATATTTATTTAAATGAAATTTAAATAAATAACTATATTTGTTTAAATGAAATTTAAATAAATAACTATATTTATTCAAATGAAATTTAAATAAATAACTATATTTATTTGAACGAAACTTAAATAAATATTTATTTAAACGAAACTTAAACAACTATATTTATTTAAATGCAATTTAAATAAATAAATATATTTATTTAAATGCAATTTAAATAAATAAATTTATTTAAATGCAATTTAAATAAATAACTAGATTTATTTAAACAAAATTTAAATAAATAACTATATTTATTTAAACGAAACTTAAATAAATAATTATATTTATTTAAACGAAACTTAAATAAATAAATATATTTATTTAAATGAAATTTAAAAAAATAACTATATTTATTTATAAAATAAATAAATAAAAATAAATAAATTTTTAAAATTCATATTTCAAAGTAAATAAATAAAAATAAATGAATATTTCTAAGTTTGCCCAAGGACCAGCAATGGTTTGAATTGATGGATATAAATCTTTTCTTACCAAAAACATCTGGGTGGTGTTGGCCTCTGAACTCAGGGCAGGGTTGAAACTTGCCAGGAGATGGATTTGAGTCAGGAGCTGAACATGCTTGAGGAATAAAATCACATCAATTTGATTTTTTTTTGTTCAGTTTATCACAAATCCAAGGAACTGGAAAGCACCAGTCCCAAGGCACAAGCAAAATCTCCTGAGCACAGCAAAAATCAAATCTCTGCCTGCAAAAAACCTTAAATCAATAGAAAACTGAGGGGAAACTTTCATATCCACTGACAGAAAGTTTATTACACAAATTCTGAAGACATCAACTATTGAAGTCTTTGAGCAGTTTCCCAACATTTTTTGGCCAAATTCTCATCGTGACCAACACAGAAATTAATTTTTTTCCTACACAAATACATAACTTTTATTTTACCAACAATTTCAGCTCTCAGAACTGCCCATTTCTGTATTTCTCCCCACAAGAATAACCCACTTAGACAGCAAGAAAAGCGGTGAAAATGGGATTTTTTCAGAATTCAAGCATGGATCATCACCTGCTGCATTTGCTGCTGGAGCCTGTTCCTCTGGGCACCATCCAGGGCCAGGCTCTGCAGGGCTCTCTCCCTCTGCTCTTTGCCTTTCTCAGCCTCCTGGGGAACTTTCACCGAGGACTTTTTGATTCTCAGCTGCTCCAGCTGCTCCTTCACTGTCTGGTGCTGCTTGTTCAGTAAATTGGCCAGGGGCTCCTCAAATCTGTGGAAACCCAAAGGGAATGAATTTGACTATGGAATAAAGTGGAAGAAATCCCTGATTTTGTAATGCTCCCTGTTTATTTTGAATATTTTTATTGTTTTGGAGCATTGTTTCTGTATTTTCCTTGCTATCTGCTTTGCACAGTTTGGTTTGACCATCCCTGCACTGCTCAACAGGAACTCCAGCTGCAAGGTCTGCAGAAAGATCACACACTGCTTCAAATCCTGCTACTTTATTGAAAAATGAATAAAAAATATCAAAAATTATTAAAATTGAAAAGATTTAAGTAATATTTAATACATAAAAATTTTATATTATAAAATTATATTTAATATTTCATTTAAATTTTAATTTTTCATTATAATTTAAATATTTTGTTGGTTTTATTATTTAAGTATTTCCCAGCCTTATGCTGAGAACTTTACCAGAGATCCTACAGTAAGAGCTACTCCTGGAGCAGAAGAAATTCATTAATTCATTATTTTATTTTATTTTATTTTATTTTATTTTATTTTATTTTATTTTAGCTACACCAGTTAATCTGATTTCTGCTGGTGATCAGCTTCCCTGAGGTCAGTTATAGAATTGTTCCATGATGCTCCTAATAAATAAATCCATAAATATATAAAATAAATATATAAATATATAAAATAAATCGATAAATATATAAATCCATAAATATATAAAATAAATATATAAATCCATAAATATATAAAATAAATCTATAAATATATAAAATAAATTTATAAATATATAAATCCATAAATATATAAAATAAATCTATAAATATATAAATATATAAAATAAATATATAAATATATAAATCCATAAATATATAAAATAAATATATAAATCGATAAATATATAAATCTATAAAACAAATCTGTAAATATATAAAATAAATCTATAAATCTATAAAATAAATCTATAAATCTATAAATCTATAAATCTATAAAATAAATCTATAAATCTATAAAATAAATCTATAAAACAAATAAATCCATAAATATATAAAATAAATATATAAATATATAAATATATAAATATATAAAATAAATCCATAAATATATAAAATAAATATATAAATCGATAAATCTATAAATCTATAAAATAAATCTATAAAACAAATAAATCCATAAATATATAAAATAAATATATAAATCTATAAATCTATAAAATAAATCTATAAATCTATACATCTATAAATCTATAAAATAAATATATAAAACAAATAAATCGATAAATATATAAAATCAATATATAAACCCATAAATATATAAAACAAATAAATCCATAAATATATAAAATCAATTAATAAATATCCATAAATAAATCCAGCAAGTAAGAGATTTTTGCCTTAAAGAATCCTGTATACAGATAAAACCAGGGGAGAAACCACTGGGAGAAGTGGCCCACCAAAGAAAAATTAATCACATAAAAGAATTTATTTAATTTAATATGATCAAAGCCACGGTGCACACAGAGAAGAGCAGAAATCTGCCTGGATTTCAGTTTGTAGCTGGTTCAGAGCTGCTGCCCTCGCCTCGGGCACTGCTCAGCCCAGAGAGGGCACCCAGGAACCCCAGCCTTGGTTTTAGCTCCTCTCCCAAACAGAGGCAGCTCCACCTTGAGCTGCTCTGCCCCACAAAGCAGGAGCACCCAGCACCCAGCACCCTGCACCCTCACCTTGAGCTGCTCTGCCCCACAAAGCAGGAGCACCCTGCACCCAGCACCCTCACCTTGAGCTGCTCTGCCCCACAAAGCAGGAGCACCCTGCACCCTGCACCCAGCACCCTGCACCCTCACCTTGAGCTGCTCTGCCCCACAAAGCAGGAGCACCCAGCACCCAGCACCCTCACCTTGAGCTGCTCTGCCCCACAAAGCAGGAGCACCCAGCACCCAGCACCCAGCACCCTGCACCCAGCACCCTGCACCCAGCACCCTGCACCCTCACCTTGAGCTGCTCTGCCCCACAAAGCAGGAGCACCCAGCACCCAGCACCCAGCACCCTCACCTTGAGCTGCTCTGCCCCACAAAGCAGGAGCACCCAGCACCCTCACCTTGAGCTGCTCTGCCCCACAAAGCAGGAGCACCCAGCACCCTGCAGCCCCACCTTGAGCTGCTCTGCCCCACAAAGCAGGAGCACCCAGCACCCTGCAGCCCCACCTTGAGCTGCTCTGCCCCACAAAGCAGGAGCACCCAGCACCCTGCAGCCCCACCTTGAGCTGCTCTGCCCCACAAAGCAGGAGCACCCAGCACCCAGCACCCAGCACCCTGCACCCAGCACCCTCACCTTGAGCTGCTCTGCCCCACAAAGCAGGAGCACCCAGCACCCTCACCTTGAGCTGCTCTGCCCCACCAAGCAGGAGCACCCTGCACCCAGCACCCAGCACCCAGCACCCAGCACCCAGCACCCTCACCTTGAGCTGCTCTGCCCCACAAAGCAGGAGCACCCAGCACCCTGCACCCTCACCTTGAGCTGCTCTGCCCCACAAAGCAGGAGCACCCAGCACCCAGCACCCTGCACCCTCACCTTGAGCTGCTCTGCCCCACAAAGCAGGAGCACCCAGCACCCAGCACCCTCACCTTGAGCTGCTCTGCCCCACAAAGCAGGAGCACCCAGCACCCTGCACCCAGCACCCTCACCGTGAGCTGCTCTGCCCCACAAAGCAGGAGCACCCAGCACCCTGCAGCCCCTCCTTGAGCTGCTCTGCCCCACAAAGCAGGAGCACCCAGCACCCTCACCTTGAGCTGCTCTGCCCCACAAAGCAGGAGCACCCAGCACCCTGCAGCCCCACCTTGAGCTGCTCTGCCCCACAAAGCAGGAGCACCCTACACCCTGCAGCCCCACCTTGAGCTGCTGGACAGGCTGGAATCATCACCTGAGAGAGGGAAAGCACAGCAACAGGGCATGGTGGGGATGGAGGGAGCTGCAGGTTGAGCTCATCTCACCCTCTGCCATGGCAGGGACCCTCCCAGCAGCCCAGGGTGCTCCAAAGTGTCCAACCTGGGCCTGGGCACTGCCAGGGCAGCCACAGCCACAGATCAAACACAATAAATCTGTTTTAATGTGTTTAATCCAATCCCTGATTGGGGAGATCAGGAGGTTCAGATCTTCATCCCTCCGGTTCAGGTGCAAGGGGATTTTTGGGCAATGTTCTCATAGAGCCATGGAATGGTTTGAGTTAAAACAGACCCAAAAACTCCTCCAGTGCCATGGCAGGGGACACCTTCCACCATCACAAGTTGCTCCAAACTGTGTCCAACCTGGCCTTTGGCACTTCAGGAGCAGCCACAGCTCTTGGAAATCTGTTTTCATGCATTTAATTCCAAATGTCCAAAGATTGGGGAGCTCAGGAGTTTCAGCTCCTCACCCCATCCCAGTTTAGTGCAAGGGGATTTTTGGTGGGGGGAATTCTGAGCAATGTTCTGTTCTCATGGAACCATGGAATGGTTTGGGTTGGAATGGACCCAAAAACTCATCCAGTGCCATGGGCAGGGACCCCTTCCACCATCCCAGGGTGATCAAACTGTCCAACCTGGCCTTGGGCACTCCCAGGGATCCAGGGGCAGCCCCAGCTGCTCTGGGAAATCTCTTTTCATGAGTTTAATCCCAAATGTTCAAAGATTGGGGAGCTCAGGAGTTTCAGCTCCTCACCCCCCCAAGTTTAGGTGCAAGGGGATTTTTGGTGAGGAGAATTCTCCTGAGCAATGTTCTCATGGAACCATGGAATGGTTTGGGTTGGAATAGACCCAAGAACTCCTCCAGTGCCATGGCAGGGACCCTTTCCACCATCCCAGCCCTGTCCAGCCTGGCCTTGGCCATTTCCAGGGATGGAGCTGCTTTAGCCCCTTTCATCTTCAGGCTGCTGCTATGTATAAACCCAACAATTTCCAATCCAAATTTCCCAGACATCTCATTTCTAGGCTGTCATTTCCCTTAAAAAGGGCCAACCCACATCCCAGGTGTTTAATGAATAAAGGTGACACCCAAAGGACCAAACAGCTCCTCAAGGATCTGCTGCCATCAAAACAATGCCAGGGCAGCA